AGAAGTACTAGAAGTACTAGAAGTACTAGAAGTACTAGTAGTACCAGTAGTACTAGTAGTACCACAAGAAAGTAAACGTAGTAGGAGGTAGTGGTAGTAGAAGTGGCTGTGGTGGCAGGAGGAGTAGGAGTGGGAGTAAGAGAAGGAGTAGGAGTGGGCGTGGGAGTGGTCGACTTCTCCCTGGTCTACCTGTGAAGGCGCAGCACGAGCTCCAGACTCTCGCGCAGAAAGCACTCCTACCCCGGTTGGAGTCTGCTGAGGCCTTGCACAGCCGCAGAGCCAGGATAAGGGCTTCAGGCTGTGTGAAAGTTATTCGACAAAAGGCTCTTGATCTATCCGATACGGTCACATAAGGCGAAGTCGTGACGATGGCGACAACGACGATGATAACGATCGTTGGAGGAGGCCGTAGTCCCTTTGCGATGGTCGTGATGATGATCGTCAAATAGGTGACGATGGTGACGATGATGCTGATGATGATGGTGATGATGCTTATGAGTCAACTTATGAGTCTGAGTCGCAAGATACAGTTGGTTCGGTTCTGTTCATCCACTCTGTATTCCTTTTGTATTGCTTCGTCGGCTTCTTCTTCTTCTTCTGCAGAATTCTGGCTGTACCCGGAGTGTCCGAGATGTTTAGAGGAAATTTGGACCACCGAAATCATGCAGCCACCCTAAACCCTAAACTAAGCCCTAAACCCTAAACCCTAAACTCTTTACCCTAAAGGCCAGCCTCTTGCGGATGGAGCAAGCCGACGGTGGGTGCCTCAGTCGACCGGACAGGCTCCTCATGGGTAGTTCTCGAAATTAGGATCCCTTTTAGGGCCCCTTTTTTTGGGGGTGCCGTGCTATTTTGGGGCCTAGAAAGGGAACTGCAACCTGATTTAGAAAGCTACCCAAATCCAGACAAACCTTGAGCCTGAATCCGAACCACAAGTCTGGTGGTGTGGTGTAAACCCCAAAAGTTGGCCGCCGGATTACGGGCCACTAGTGCTGGGATTCCTTGTTGATCCTTGCTATCTACTGTCTGCGTGTATCAAGAGACACAGTAGAGGCAGCATGTAAATACGTACCCATATGTGTGTATGCATAAACGCGCGCATGCATGCTTCTGTATATGCAAAGATGCCCAGCTTTACGTTTGAAGCAGTGTGTCTGTTGTCTGCTGTAGGTGCCTCAGGCATCACATGGTCTGACTTGAGTGCGTTCTGCGGTTGCAAAAAGCACTGGCGTTATGGTCTCACGGTATTTGCGTAAGCGTGCTTTTTTTGCACAAAGAGTTGTCATGCATGTGTTTGTATGGCTAAAGGACACATTTACTGTTGTGTTGCTGCTGTCTTTCTTGTGGTTGTTGTTGTTGCTGTTGCTGTTGCTGTTGCTGTTGCTGTTGCTGTTGCTGTTGCTGTTGCTGTTTCTGTTGCTGTTGCTGCTGCTGTGGTTATTGCTACTGCTTTGACCGTTCATGTTGCCTCTGCTGATGTTGTGGCTGTGATGACACTGTATTTGCGAACTGATTGTCGAAGCACGTGCTTCAGTGTCCTTTAAAGTGATTAATTCCATGTCTTGTACCTATGGTCCCACGATGTGATTTTGGTTGCTGGCGTGTGTTGTTTGCATTGCTGCTCCAGCTGCTGCTGCTGCCGCTGCTCACTCCTACTGCTGCTTCTACCCCTACACCTGCGACTCCTTCTTACTGCTACTACTACTCCTGTTCCAACTGCTACTCCTACCCCTACCACTGCCACTGCCAGTGCCGCAACCGCTACCACCACCACCACCACCACTTCCACGACCACGACCACGACCACTGCCACTACCACTAGCAC